GGAGGATGAGGGAGGATGAGGAGGATGAGGGAGGGTGAGGGAGGATGAGGGAGGATGAGGGAGGATGAGGGAGACTTAATATGAATAAGAAATCACAATATGATTTTGACAAAGTCAATTTAGGCAATATTAAATATTTCTGGTTTCAGCCTATAGTAAATTAAGTTCTAATTCTTATTTGATATAAAGTAGGACAACTTGCATTTTTTAACATGACTAAAACCCCTGTGCAATGTATTAAAAGTTTTAAAGTTTCTTTCTACCCACTAAACCCTTTTATGAGACTTTAATTATTTAAGGTTGTCCAACAAGTTTATTTAATAAAAAGTAAAGTAATGATTTAACAAAAACCTTTTTAGTAAAAAGTTAATTGCATATAAGATTATTTTCCAAAATATTTCTTAAGATTGAGTCTTTGCCACAAACATAAATTTTCTAATCCCTATATCTTTGCAACCTGATGGTGTAAACCTTTAATATTTCAAACTTAGATTGTTAGATCTAACATAATTCATAGTTTGAAGTATCTAAGTTCTACTACATTGTGTTTTGCAAAGATATGGGGATTTAAAATTTAGAGTTTGTGTCAAAGACTCAACAATTCCTTTTTTAGCATGAGATAAAGAATAATAACAAATCTTTGTATTTCAGATATTGTGAACTCTGGGTTAAAAGCTACACCAAATCTTGAAGTATATATGGATGAGTGACTGTGGAAAATTTGGGATTAAATCTTCGTGATTCCTCGACACTTGGTGAAATATTGAAAACAAGGCTGGCTCTAGGTGTCAGGGGCAAGGTTATATTCAAGGTTAAATAGTTCAGTTACGCTTCTCTGTTCTATCCTCAGCGTAACGAATCCAACCACCTGGAGTTATTGACACTAGGCAAGATACAGTGGTGTCATTATTAATCAAAATAATATCCTTGTTGATCACTAAGCACTCAAGAGAGAGACAATTTGCAGGGTCCTAAGTTTCCTGTCTTGTTCTGTCCTTATAATGAAATCATTATTGTTAATTTTTCAGATTACACTTTTTTTTTTTTGTTTNAATTAAAAATTTAAAAAAAAAATGTATATGTAAATGTACAATATTGATACAAATAATATTTTCTTCTATTTAGAATAGCAAAAGGATAGCTAGCATAGCTGTTTGAATGCTATATCCTGAAATAATACACATGACGGTGTGAGACCATACAACTAGTAAGGGTCTTAACGGTGTATTAATATATCCCTCCCTTTTGGTCTATGGTGTATTCATGGGTCCAAGATATATTTAATGCATTGTCCTTTCAAGGTTAAAGATGTATAACCGAGCTGTATTATACCATCATTAGGGGCTCTTTATATCGATATTTTATCAATATCAATATTATCGTTTCATATTTTTCCTTTAACAAATGTTTTTTGTTTGGAAAATTTTGTCGACAACATACTGTAATCTTCAGGATATACACAAATCCACGAGAGAAGGATCAGCATAGATCCGCAAACTGAGATTTGAGAAAATCCACCAAATACGTGATCTAATAACTCGTGATTGCAAACATTACCAGGCCTGATACATGATCCAGGATATCTTAATTGCCTCCTCGAATTAGCATTCTTGCTTCACGTGCAAATGTGACATTAGAAAAGTGACGTTTTAAAAGTGTGAGAGCTGTATGAGGTTGAAAGGGGTGAGAGTGTTAGATTCAGAAAAATGTAGCTTTTAATTTCGACAAAGGTATTATATATATATACACAATTCCGTGTTTACCAGTGAATAGACTCCATTAAAGCCCGGGAAATGCATAAATTCTACTGGAATAATGCCCGTGGGGGCAATGAGGGGTCTCCAAGGGGCTACCAGGACCAGGGGCCACACAGGCCCTACCAGGCAGAGAGAGGGGTTATCCCTGGCCCCAGGGGCTATCAACAAGAAGGAGGTTACCCAGAAAGATTTCAGGTGAGTTAAAAATCCAATAAGCAGTAAACATCTTTGCCTTTGATGTTTTTACAATTTTTAAATTTTTATGATTACATTATGGGATTATGGGATGGTGCAATTTATAAATTGCAATTTATAATTTATTTGGCCTGAATAATATTGAAAGCAACCCTTCCAAGATTTAAGGATTAGGGGGGGGGGGAAATCTTAGAAATAGGATACGAGTTAGGGCCGAGGATTTTAACCGAGAAGCATAGAGGGGGAATTTAGAAAATTTAAATTGATTAGATTTTATAATCTTTTCATCTTTGGATGGTTTTTGTCCAGATAAAAGCTCTGCATGCATCGTTAATCATAATTTTAAAGAAAATTTCTTTTTTAATGATTATTTTTTCTGTTCTTCTTTTTTATGTTTTCTTCTTGTCTATATGTCTATTTATTTCCTGTCTGCAATTCCCTCTACCAATCTACTTTCTCTACATAACATTTAATTTATTTCCTGTCTTATTTTTTTGTTCATTGTTCAACTGTGTTCTTCCTGCCTGAATGTCTGTTCATTTTCTGTCTGCATGCCCAATCCTTTTTGGTTGTATATTTTCATTTCCTGTCTACTTATTGCTTGTCCAATCCTACTTTCTCTTCATACTGATCAATTCATTTCCTGTCTTATTTTATCAGTTTAATGTTTAACTGCTTTCTTATTGTCTTAATCTGTCTTATTTTCCTGTATCCATTCTTGTCCTTTATACATTCTTGTCTTGTATCCCTCCTTGTCATGTATTCCTTCTCGTCCTGTATCCCATCTTGTCCTGTATTCTTTCTTGTCCTGTATCCATTCTTGTCCTGTATCCCTTCTTGTCCTGTATCCCTTCTTGTCCTGTATCCATTCTTGTCCTGTATCCCTTCTTGTCCTGTATCCATTCTTGTCCTGTATCCCTTCTTGTCCTGTATCCATTCTTGTCCTGTATCCCTTCTTGTCCTGTATTCCTTCTTGTCCTGTATTCCTTCTTGTCCTGTATTCCTTCTTGTCCTGTATTCCTTCTTGTCCTGTATTCCTTCTTGTCCTGTATCCCTTCTTGTCCTGTATTCCTTCTTGTCCTGTATCCCTTCTTGTCCTGTATCCCTTCTTGTCCTGTATTTCTTCTTGTCTAAGATCTGGTATTTTTGCAACAATTTTCCTTTATTTTGTCTGACTGATTTAATCTTGGTGATTTGATTTTTATCAATAAAGTAAAATCTAGTAAATAGACGGGATAGGGATATAAAGTAAAATAGTAGGGGCATAAAACAACCCATATTTGTCTTGTTAATCAGTGTAATTTTTGGCTTGTTTATGTATCCGTCTATCTCTCCATCCATCCATTAATACTACTCTGATAATCATGGTTGCCCACTAAGGATGAGACTTCAGAGACGACTGTTGTGAATTTATCCTATCTGTATCTTTTAGATGCTTTATTTTTGACAGAAGATTTAATTTGAACTTGGAATCGTCATATTTTAAGAGTTTTCGGTCGTCTTTGCAGTCTCATCTTTTGTGTGTAACCCTGTACAGTGTACAGTCCTTCTTGTCCTGTATTCCTTCTTGTCCTGTATCCCTTCTTTTCCTGTATTTCTTCTTGTCTAAGATCTGGTATTTTTGCAACAATTTTCCTTTATTTTGTCCGACTGATTTAATCTTGGTGATTTGATTTTTATCAATAAAGTAAAATCTAGTAAATAGACGGGATAGGGATATAAAGTAAAATCTAGTAAATAGACGGGATAGGGATATAAAGTAAAGTAGTAGGGGGCATAAAACAACCCATATTTGTCTTGTTGATCAGTGTAATTTTTGGCTTGTTTATGTATCCGTCTATCTATCCATCTATCCATGAATACTACTCTGATGTACAAGGTTGCCCACTAAGGATGAGACTTCAGAGACGACTGTTGTGAATTTATCCTATCTGTATCTTTTATATGCTTTATTTTTGGCAGAAGACTTAATTTGAACTTGGAATCGTCATATTTTAAGAGTTTTCGGTCGTCTTTGCAGTCTCATCTTTTGTGTGTAACCCTGTACAGTGTACAGGTGCATTGGAATAAAAATGTTTGGGTGTCGATCTAATTGTCTGTTTTACAATTTGTCAAGGTTTCTGTTTAGCTCTGTCATTCTAGCTGTCTGTCAATCAGTCTTTAAATCTTCCTGTCAAGCTTTCTGTTTAGCTGTCTTTTAGGCTGTATGTTAGGCTGTCTGTCAAGGTGTCTATCGAGCTGTCTTTTGTGCTGTCCGTTAAACTTTCTGCCAAGATTTCTATTCAGCTGGCTGTACAGTGTAAATTAATATCTCTACATTCTAATAATTTATTCTAACCATTACTGTGCTGTAAAATGTACAGTATAAACTGTATACTGTACACTTCAAACCGTACTGTACATTTACATTGTAAGCTGTACACTCTACATTTTCTTTTGACCACTGTACTGTACACTTTTCAATGTAAACTGTACACTCTACACTTTATTCTGACCACTTGCTGTACACTTTACAGTGTAAAGTTCACACTGTACTGTACATGTACAGGGTAAACTGTACGCTTTATACAGTATACTGAAGACACTGTACAGAATAGCAGTACAAAATATAATGTTTACAAAAGTTGAACGATAAATTTCACTTTTATTTATCTAATTGAGTGAGCGGTTGAGCGCCGAAAAGATAATTAGGCCCTTAGGTGGTCTTGCCAAATTATATTTAGGCCTAAAAAGGCCCATTTAACTGCCTGGCTGTGTAAGTATCTAGACATAAGGACGTTTCTCTTCAAATAGATAGATAGACAGATAGATATATACATATTTGACTAAATATTTTATCAATATTATTAATTTTTACATTTTTATTTCGCCGGGACCTTTAACTTTCCATTGCTAATTGTTTTGAAAAAGAGGCCCTTTTTCATTGTCCAGCAGATTTATTAATGTCAAATAAACATTTGCCTGGATAAGTATCTGCCTACCTGCCTAGATATGTATCTGCCTACCTGTCTGTATAAGTATCTGCCTACCTGGCTGTATAAGTATCTGCCTACCTGCCTGGATAAGTATCTGCCTACCTGTCTGTATAAGTATCTGCCTACCTGTCTGTATAAGTATCTGCCTACCTGCCTGTATAAGTATCTGCCTACCTGTCTGTACAATTATCTGCCTACCTGCCTGTATAAGTATCTGCCTACCTGCCTGTATAAGTATCTGCCTACCTGCCTGTATAAGTATCTGCCTACCTGTCTGTATAAGTATATGCTTACCTATAAGTATCTACATAACTATATGTCCACACTATGGAATTTCTTTTATCTCACAATCACGCAAAAATTCTACATATTTTTTCCTGCCTTTCTTTCATTCGGTCATTTATTCATCTATTCATCTATTCATCCTTTCATCCTCTCAACTATTCACCTATCCATCTATTTATCTATTTATCCTGTCATCCTATTGTACGGTCATCTACTCACCCTTTATTTTGTTAATTTATTTATCTATTTTTTTTCAATTCTTTATTCATTTGCCTTTTACGCTTGTTTTATTAATGTTTGGTTTTTTTTCTATTTATCTATTTATTTATGTATTTATTACGCTTCTTTTATCAATAATTAGAAATATTTTTCTATTTATCTATTTATTTTCACAATTCATTATTTATTTGTCTATTATAAAACTTCTTTTATTAATTTTTTTTTCTATTTATTTATTTATCTTTACAATATGCAGCTACTAATTCTATTTATAGATTTATTTTTTGATAAATTGACATGACAGCCTTGTTTGTTTTATTTTAAAGCTTAATTCTTTCCTTGACCCAGAAAACACTAAAAACTGCCCCTAAATACCTCAGATTACAGAGGATAGATACTCCTTAATACCCTTAATAACCCTAAATACCTCTAAATAAACCCTATTCAGTATTTACTGTTCTATGTAGCATAAAAGTCTAGGATAAAATAACTATCGGCATTGTTTGGGCATTTCTTAAAAAATGTTGTTTTGGTCAAAGACTGCTTTTTAATTTTCTACTGACACAAGCAAAACACTGCTAAAACTGTATAAACTGTTTTGATTAGTATAGTCTTTAAGACCCAACTGAGGATATTTTTAGCAGCGGAGAGATCAATAGGCATATGGGTAAAGAAAGGACTTTTTTCATATTATTGAAAATACAACTCATTTTGTTACCTTTTTCCTAGGAAAGGAACTTGTTATAAACTCTAATAAAACGTATTTATTCTTAATTAAGCGAACGAATAAATCGAGAATTAAAAATTCGGGCTTTTTTTGAGTTAATTGGCATGACTAAACTATTCTTTGGCTATTAAGATTGGAATGGAGGAAGAACGGGGGGGGGCATGTGGGCAGTAAATGGTTTTCTAAAAAACGGGCCTTTTTTGTCATGCAAGATAATTTAATACTTTTTTGTGTACAAAGGGCAGAACACTACAGCTAGTTTTTGCCTGAAATATACTCCGTGACTGTAACCTACATTTTAATTTTACGATGCAAAAACTATAATAGTCTTCTCAGCCTGAATAGGACGTGGGGGGGACACCTACCCCTCGGCCTGAATAGGACGTGGGGGGGACACCCACCCCTCGGCCTGAATAGGACGGGGGGACATCAACCCCTCCACTTCATTGACCATTCCTATCGTCCTATTTCCTTCCTCCCTCAGCTCTACCCTCATGTTTTTTGCATCAAGGCAGTTTATAAAATCATAATTTGTCAGTTCCGGAGAATTGATAGAAGTGTTTATTAAGCACTACGTCCGTCGTTACGTCCGTCTGTGTGTCTGCCTTCATGTCAATCCATATGTTTTTATGCATGTCTGATTTACAACCGTCTTTTTATTCGTCGGTGTGTCCGTCCTTACGTCCTTTTGTATTTCTGTCTTCATGTCCGTCGTTACGTTCGTATGTTTGTCCGTCTTATGCCAGTCTGTATATATCCGTCCATTTTTCCGTGTGTATGTCCGTCTTGTATCGGTCTGTATGTCCATTTCTGAGTCTGTTTAATTGTTTCCTTAATGTTGGCCGATGTAGGGGCCCCAAGATTCTATTTCCTGATTACATTTAGAATTGATTAATTAATTAATTTGTTTCTATCATTTATCAAACTTCTACAGATAATTAACTGATAATTATTTAATTATTTCTTAAATCATTTAATCATCTTTTTAGTTCCTTAATTCAACTATTTACGCTATAAAAGTTTGATTTCAATGTGAGCTTTGTAAATTTGTTCAGAAATTTAAATCGAACTTTTGAATTTATTTCAGAATGATCGGATGGTACAACGTGAATACATGCACAGCGGCGATCCGGTACACTTGTACAACGAACCACCGTACCGGCACTCCCAGCCAGGCAGTGGGTACAACGGGGCAGTGATCGAAAACTCCGGTACTGTACGCGTATCTGTGACAGCTGACAACAGCTGTCGAACAGACAGGCAGCAGGAGAAACAGACGTGTGGTATTCAATCGCTTGCAATGATAATTTGATCGTTGATCTAAGCAACTGATCTGATCAACTGATCTAATCAACTGATCTAATCAATTGATCTAATCAAATGATCGACTCAACTGATCTAATCAACTGATCTAATTAGCTGATTTATTCAACTGATCTAATCAACTGATCTAATCAACTGATCTAATCAACTGATCTAATTAGCTGATTTATTCAACTGATCTAATCAACTGATCTAATTAGCTGATGTAATCAAATGATCTAATTAGCTGATCTAATGAACTAATCAATTGAACTATGTTCTAATCAATTTAATATTAAAACTTGCAATTTGTTGAAGCTTATTAAAAATAAAAACCTTACAAAACAATTTCTGATCTGATTAAAAAGTGTTAATCTCAAAAATACCTCAGATTTAGGAATGAAAGGATCCATAATAGTGGAGAATGATTCTGTTGGTATGTTGATCCCTAGAATAAATACCATGTACAATCCCTTTAAAGTACCGTGTCTCTTTATTTGTCTAAGGTTGGATGTTGGAGCGGGGGTAAAATGTCAATATTTGATGAATTGAGCGTTTTCTCCACAAATCTTTCTTACTTTAAACCAGTTTCTTACAACTCCTTGTAAAAACTCCATCTCTCAAATCTTCCCCCTATCACGTCACGTCACGTCAAACTAATGTAAATTGCACGCAAGATTCAAATCTTCTGTATTTTCAGTCATATCTCCTCTTGTTAAAGAGATATTGAAAAGAACAGAATTCCTAAATTTTAATTTCTAGATATATATTCGCATCTCTCATACTTCTGTGCGTAAAATCCAAACTGGAGGTGCTACGATGTCACAAAGTCGTTTCTGTGATATTGCTTAAACTGTACCTTCTCCTTCTGTCTAGTTTCAGGTTAAAATAATTGACAAAAATTATCCTTGAAAGCACTTTTTAGAATCGTGCAAATTTTAATATTTTTGAGACTATTTAATAAATGTTTTGGTTAAAACTGTGCAATTAACATCAAGTTGGGTTATTGTAGGGTGGGAAGGTTCTAGGCCGTAGGGGGTATAAGTGCAAGTAGTTAAAAATCTTTAACTGCCTAATTTTCAAGCCGAGATACACAGTCCTGAGGAATCCATACAAATGTTAAGTTTTTTTCAAGGTCATGTATTATACATTAACACAAACACATTAATGAAATAGACAAACAGACAGATAGAGAGATGGTTGGACCGACATCATTGCTAGACAGCCGATAGGCCAGCTATTTGACAGCTAGGATGTACATTGTATGGACACTTGTTAAATTCTGTAAATGTTTGACAGACGGTTGAGCGGACAGAATTCAGGCCGACCCAAAAGTGTTCCTGATCTAGCAGATCTTGTTCCTGATCAGGTTTAGAGTATTATTATTATTGCTGTTAGCATTAATCTTAGTCTTTTAGTTTGTATCTCAATTCATTATTATTATAATTATTTAAAATTCAGTGATGGTGATGGACCAAACCTCTGTAGAGTAAAAAAGAAGATGTTAGTTATAATTATTATTATTATTATTATTATCATTTGTATTGATATTTTTTTAATTCAAAAAAAATTTGTCAAAAAATAATTTATACAAATTCGTGATTTGTCGAATGTCAAATTTCAAATAGAATTTCAGACGTTTTATCGAGAAAATGCTGATGTTTGAAAATATCAAAGAACAGTTGAAAGTTTCAAATTCTGCTGACAATTAATGTTTTCTAAAACCTTTATTCCAAGAAAACATGAAATCAATGAATGTATAAAACTTGCAAGTTGTTTAATGGGACTGTAATCTCCATGCAAAGATGTGGAAAATATTCTCAATTTTCTAGGTTTAAAAGTGATAAAATTTGATAATTTCTTAAAGTTTTCTGCAGTTAAAATGCGCAATTTACTTTTGTAGAGAAACCACAATTGAAAATGATAATTTTTCTAAATTCTTTATCTAAATCATGCTTTTAAGAGTACCGTTGTGAACCGGACATTGCCATTTTTGCATGGAGGGTCACTTAAAATTAATAAAATGTTAGCATTACTGTAAAAGCATAATTTGAAGTTTTTTTTATGAACAACAGAATATTAATCATTCTAAAACTGAACTTGTTTATAAACCTATTTTGGTTTAACGTAAATCCAAAATAAAATGATTATTTTCTAAATCTTTAGTTAATCCCAGCTTAAAGATTTCATTAACATTTAATTATTTTTAGAATATATCCAGAGAAAATATGAAGAAAGATCTTAAAAGGTAAATCTTTATAATATTACCTTGATCAATCATTTGAGATCAGATCAATTTATTAATTTATCTAATAATTTGAGTGACGATCGATTAGCCTAACTTCAATTGATTCAATCGCTTGCAATGATAATTTGATCGTTGATCTAAGCAACTGATCTGATCAACTGATCTAATCAACTGATCTAATCAATTGATCTAATCAACTGATCTAATTAGCTGATGTAATCAACTGATCGAATCAACTGATCTAATCAACTGATCTAATTAGCTGATTTATTCAACTGATCTAATCAACTGATCTAATTAGCTGATGTAATCAACTGATCTAATTAGCTGATCTAATGAACTAATCAATTGAACTATGTTCTAATCAATTTAATTTCAGATTGAATCGAAGTCAAGATGAATACGATTGTGTTGAAGAAATGAATGCATCGAAGGTAGAGAAATATTTCAAGAAAAAAAAGATTTAAAGATATTTCTTCTGAAAGTTTTCAAAGTTTTATTTTGCAAATCCTTACATCTTTGCAACCTTATGCTGTAGACCTTTAATATTTCTGCTAGATCAAATATTCCAAGTTTGAAATCCATCAGGTTGCAAATATATACGGACTACGGAGGGATTCGAAAATCATAGTTTGATTATTTCATTAGGGAACTTGAAAACTATTTTCCTCTTATTTTTCCTTGCCTTCCATATTTTTCACTTAATTTAAAGCACGCCCGTTTCAGATCAGTTAAACACTCATTCATATATCCATATATCCATATATCTATATCTCCATATATCCATATATATATATATATTGAAACCTATACCAGGAGTTTTCAACGATAAATCTTAAATCGGAATTGAAATATCAAACATCTAACATCGGTCACTTCCGTATTCAATATTCATACATATCTAGTTATCTATATAATACAATGGCCGGCGTTTATATCAATAAAATGAGACATTTTTGTAACTAGCTTTTTTCAAATTACAAGTTTACGTGTAAACATTAAAATAATCTGTTAAGACAGCTTCTCTTTGTTTTCATTTATATCACTGTTAAAGGGACTGTAAAGGAAAAATGAAAGGGGGTATACGCTGAAACCTGAGACTGTTAGGAGTTGATTGAGACAAATAATTGAGTTCTAACTATCAAAATTAAATCAAAACGTATATATGTAAGATTTTGTATAACATTCGTAGTATTAAACAGATCATATTCGACAAATGCGCAATCCATCTGAAAACAACGATATCCCAGAGGAGCCTGAGAAATTCAAATTTGCTCCTGTTATTATTTGAATTTAATTACTTTCATTTTTAATAGATATAATTGATAATAGTGTATATGCGTCCGGTCACCAGAACTCCATCCAATGGCAGTGCAGTATTATTGTCATGTGTCCTGGTCACGTTATACGGACGTATATCTTACATATATACTTTTTGGTATAATTTTGACACAGTTTTATGTAAATTTCTCGAGACAGGAACATCAGATAGATGTCTTAAAGGTATCATTCAACTCCTGAGATTCACAGGTTTCAGCCTATACCTCCTTTCATTTTTCCTTTACAGTCCCTTTAAATAAAAATTTGAGACAAATCGGTCAATGGTTTCATGAGTTATGATCGAACATACAAACAAACAGAGACTCAAACAGAGATACCCCTGGGTTCCCTCAAAAAAAATCAGCCCATTCGGTCTAGCCGTTTGGGCGGCTATAGGAAACATATATACGAAGAGATTCAAAACAGAAGACTTAAATTAACCTCGGGATCGTTATATTATATTAGATTCATGTCATCTTTACAGACATATCCTTTGTGGGTAACCCTGTAATGTAAGGATAAAGGTGATTCATCAGTTGTAAATTGATTTGAATTAAATCTTCCATTGATCCTTCAGTCCATCTCTAACACTATAGAATCTACACGTATCGGATATCCGACAGTTTAATTGCGTGGCATTCACCAAATTCTGCGCATTGTGCCCAGTTTGCCTCAAGTGTGTCCATCTACATAGATAAAATTTGCCCAGTTCAGAATACTTCTTATCTTATGAACATCATATTTAACCTGCAATGTGTACAATATTTTTGTTTATTGACCAGTGTTTTCCTAGCTAGCCAATACAGTAATTGCATTTTTTATCACTGTTAAATATATACTTTAGTGTACTTTGATCTAATTTATTGAATAATCAAAATTAAAAGAATAATCTATTAACATAAAAAAACGCTTAATCTTTAAATTATAAAATGAACAACTTGCAACTCCTGGCTTTAATTGATTGCAACTCATCAAACCACATAATAAACTGAGATATCGACGGAAAACCTTAAAGGGAAGTGAAGCGAAAATTCAAATGACTCCCTATGCAAAGACGACAGTGCCCGATTCACAACACCACTCTTTATCTCATCAGTAATGTGGAAGATATTGTCGTTTTCCTGCAGAGAAACCACAAACAAAAATAATCAGTTTTTGAAATTATAAACATGGATATCTAGACAAAGCTTTTAGTGTACCGTTGTGAATCAGGCATTGCCAACTTTACCTGGAGAGTCATTTGAAATTACAACATTGGTGGAAATAATTGATGTGATATGTCTATTTAAAATTCGACGTGGGGACCTAAATATAAATCTTACTTAAAATCAGCCCCTGCAGCAATTTACAGGCATAAAAAATGTCCTATTTCACAATAAAAACAAATGTGAGAAACAAAATTTTAATTGGGGAAACAAATAAAATAAAATAAAACTCTGTCAATGATAGTTATTATAGCATTAATAAAATGCATAATCGTCGGTAAACCTTAACTTGTTTTTTTCTCCTACAGGCTGGTGAGAGAAATTATGAATTGAATCTACCTGTCCGACAATCTAAATCTATGCATTTCATTGAAAACAAGAACAAAACATGGAACATTAGTACACTTAGGTATAAAATTTATAAATATAAAAACAGTGAGAACCATCTATCTTTGTAATAGGAAAACGACATCAAAGTAATAATCAACTGTATCTAATGTTGTTTTAAAGCAAATAGTTTTACTAGTAACTTTATAAGTCAAATGGGACTGACACACTGCTCAATTGCTGTGACATGTTCATTGGACTATTTCTTAATTAAAGTCATAGATTGAGTCTTAACTTCGTCTTTCTATTCCATAGTGTTCTGGTTCTCACTGTACATTCAAGTAAATCTAAACTTGAAATCCTTGATAGAAAGGAATTAAGTCTTTGCTAAAAAATCTGATTTTCTAATCCCTATATCTTTGCAACCCAATGTCGTAGACATTAAATATTTCAAACTGTGAATTCTATAAAATCAATAATTCTAAGTTTGAAATAACAAAGGTTTACACTTCAGGCTGCAAAGATATAAGAGTTGGACAATTTGAGTTTGAGACAATGACTCAATTTCTTAGATCTATTATTACAGGCATTATGAAGATACTCCACGGGTACCTAGTCATCCCCGACCTTCAGGTTAAAAATCTACCAAATTATTTGATCGTCTTTTTAATCCATCACTTCCTTGTTTTGCTACTGCATAGCAAACAATTTTTCCAATCGAGTAAAATGATAAATTAAAATGAAATAATAAAATGATGCAAATCTATTTTTTGACCTTTTTTGTTGGTTCATTTAGTGTTGACAGCTGATTATTTCCATCACAACTATGAAAACGTGTATGGTGAAATGGAAGACGATTGCTCAAATGGCGGATTCCGCAATGATAAAAGTCCGCGGCAAAACATAAGGAAACTAACCAATCAATCAAAAGTTGTTTATTGCTAATCTTCAAGTACATTAGGAGTTTGCATTGTATGAAGTTTAACTCATTTTATGGGGATAGTAAATCATAATATTCTTCCTCACTGCTCTGTAACCTTTCCCTTTCCTTTTCCCATTGGTGTTTCCTAAATTATCAGTCTATGTATTGTATGTATACTGCACGCTAGAGATGGGCATCGTTTTAGTGAACAAACAAAATTTTTTAGAACGAACTAAATTTATCATGAAAGATGTTGTCGTACTGAAATGAAAACGAACAATAGACAAACGACTAGAATTTTTCAAAGAAATAAAAAAAACTACACTGAATCCCAGATATATGAATTATGTATTCATATATCTGGGATTCAGTGTAGTTATAAGTTATAAGTTTTTGATATTCTAAAGTAATTTATTTTTATTTTTAATTCAAGGTAAATTAATAGCCCTGAAATATGAACGCAATTGATATATTAATATTAAACTCATTTTTCCGGGGCATTTGATCTTAAATATGTAAAATGACAGTATAAAAACTCTTGCTATGTATTCATATATCTAGGATACACTGTATAATTTTTCAAAAACGAATAAAAAACGAACGATTTAAAATCGTTTCATATAGTGATCCTGAAAAAATGGTCGTTTTTTCACAGAACGACCATTTTGAACTATTTAAAAATCAAACAAAATGGGTCGTTCAAAAACGATCTACTAACAAAATGAAGAAAAACAGAAGGCGCCCATCTCTACTGCACGCAATTGTTCCATTTAAACACTTTAGACCATCTACAACTTTATAAAACATGGATTTAATGCACATATTATTCACCTTTCATAATGAGGTCGTTTTAAAGGGTAAAGTATAATTTGAATTTAAGAAACCAAACACTTGAATACCTCTCTTAATACAGTTGCCCCAAATCAAATACAGATCTTGAAATAGTTGCCCCAAATACCCATCTTGAACTAGTTGCTCCAAATACCATCTTGAAATAGTTGCCCCAAATACCCATCTTAATATAGTTGCCCCAAATCAAATACCCATCTTGAACTAGTTGCCCCAAATACCCATCATGAAATAGTTACCCTATATACCCCATCTTGAAATAGTTGCCCCAAATACCCATCTTGAAATAGTTGTCCTAAATACCTATCTTGAAATAGTTGTCCTAAATACCTATCTTGAAATAGTTGTCCTAAATACCTATCTTGAAATAGTTATTCCAAATACCCATCTTGAAATAGTTGCTCCAAATACCCATCTTGAAATAGTTGCCCCAAATACCCATCTTGAAATAGTTGCCTCAAATACCCATCTTGAAATAGTTACACCAAATACCCATCTTGAAATAGTTGCCCCAAATACCCATCTTGAAATAGTTGCCTCAAATACCCATCTTGAAATAGTTGCCCTAAATCAAATACCCATCTCGAAATTGTTACCCTATATACCCCATCAGGAAATAGTTGCCCCAAATACCCATCTTGAAATAGTTGCTGCAAATACCCATCTTGAAATAGTTGCCATAAATACCAATATTGAAAAAGTTGTCCTAAATGCCCATCTTGAAATAGTTGCTCCAAATAAGCATCCTGAAATAGTTGCCCCAAATACCCATCTTGAAATAGTTGCTAGAACTGTTTGCGCATTTTCAAACTCCAAGGTCAGTTCAACACTTTGTCACAGATATCACAGGGATCTTCAACATCGTGATGTAGAGGTCATTAGGTGCTTGTGTATCCAGGAAGGGGGCGTTTTCTAACCTCTGAAGAGGGGGTTGGGAGGGACTGGGTGTATATATATATATATATATTATATATATATAATTGANTGGATTTGACACTAATTGATATTAATTGGTCCTCTTTCTCCTTTATACCATACTACCACACTGTGAATAGGAACTCTTCCCAGTTTCTGCAGACGGTTTCTTTAGCTGTGAATCTTTTAATAAATATAACTTTGTGAATATTGACAAGAAAATCCCGTTTGCAAAAAAGTAAATGGAAAAAAAATGTTTATTTCAATTCAAAGAACATACCATTTCGCTAATTATTATACCTAACACAGCCTAATGTAAAGTTTTATTTTGTAATTTTATTAGAGGCAAAGTTAAAGAACAGAAAAATTGTTAAGTTATAAGTTAAAAAAATAAACGGTAAACTACCCCAGCCCTTACAGTTTCTAGAACCTTGAAATCTCCAATGAAAGTTGATCATTCTTATTTGTTTTTTGTTATCTTAAAATATAGCAAAAAATTACAAAATGTCTGAAGAAATTTTTTTTTTATAAAAGAGCTAAAAATATTAATGTTTTTAGACACAGTTTATTCAGTTTTCCTAAAGTCAGATATTTAATGCCTAAAAGAAANCAATAGGGGACTAAAAAATGCCCCTGCAGCCCCCCCCCCCTGCAAACAATAAAAACAATTGTGTTGAAAATTTGACATGCAAATGTTGAATGGAAAACACCCATCTGTTTTTCTCCAATTATTCATTTTTATAAATTATTGAAACTTACACCCTTACCTGTTTGGTATAATTTGATTCAGGCCGCTTTCAAGCCTTTGTCAGGCAGTATATCTCAAGCCAGTCTGCAGTGCTTGACAAGGACATGCTAGGCGCCTAATTATGAAGTAATAGACTCATTAAAAATGGGCTTGACCAATCTGAATAAGATACTTTTGGGTTCTGTAAATGTGACATGTTTTTATACCAACAAAACTTGATGAAGACAAAAACCTAAATACTAATTGATATTTATTTAACCTAATCATTTCATTAGTTAGATCTACAGATTAAACGAACTGTTACAGAAGATTTTCTCAGATTTCACGTCTAAAACACAGGGTGTCCCGCGAAACATGACAGTATCCAGACTAGAAGGTTGTCTTTTATGGTTTAAATAATTTGCGGCATTTTATTCGTAAAGCCAGTTTTAAAATTATAATTCTGGTTTTGGTTTGATTTAATAATTGCTCAACGAAATTTCGGTAATAATATGGACCAGACAAAAAAGGATAAATCTGTGATTTTTGTTTTAAGAATCATACTTGTAAAAGTAGGTTAAAGAACGAATGCCGCAAATAATTTCAAAAATCACTAGACGACCTTTATCCTTCTAATTCTACTGTCAAGTTTCGTGGGATACTTTCTACGCAAAACTCGATCTTCTTCCCTTCTTTTTTATTTTTGTGTTAACAATTTAAAAAAATAAAGCTCTTACTTTTATTATTCTGGTATGCCCTAAAACCCTCGAAATAAAATTTGCGGCACATTTTTAAATGGCTTTTGGGTGAACAAGTTAATTACGATTGTTTAGGTGATTTTTTTTAAATGATTGATTGATTGAATGGTAAAATCAGGATCTGTAAGCTGGCTCAGTCTCCACGGGCCCAAAACTCTCGGAGGAAGGAATTCTTGTCTGGCATGACCGGCGGCGATGGTAAGGGGAAAAAGGGAGAGGGAGGGGGTAAAATTAGACTGGGGAAAGAAAGGGAGAGAGGGGAAAAAAGGATTGGAAGATAAAAGAGAGGTACAGCGTTACCCACAAAAGATGAGACTGTAAAGACGACTTGGTTAAATGAAATCTCTTTACTTGAATATAGTCGTTTAATAGCTTATTTACTGATTTGGTAAAGAACGAGATAAGGTTTTACGGTTGAAGAAAATAGAAGAGAGAGGAAAAAATAAGGAAATTTGAAGAAAATGAAAGTCAGAGGAAAGAATAAGGAAAATGAACAAAAAAATTACCGGAAATCTTAAAAGCAGGAATTAAAAATGCTTAGAAAGGATATTTACGCAAAATCATAAAAAGATCATGCAGTATATGAAAAGTTACGGTCCTTTTTAGCAGTTGAAAGTATCTATTGCATTAATTTCATTATAAATTCAGATTTCAGCCATATAAGAATCACAGATAAAGAAACTGAATACTTGCCCCAAATTTAAATTTTTAACCTTCATATCTTAGTAACCTAATGTTATACTGGTAAACTTTTGATATGTCAAACAATGAATTCCTTCGAAATTAAAGCTTGAAATATCAAAGGTTTTCACACAAGGATTGGAAAAATGAAATTTGAGGCGATATATTCATATTCTTTAAGAAATGTATATTGTATATATATAATTGTATAATATATGTATATTGTATGTATATTCAATTTATCTTCAAAATTTAGGGTAGTATGAATTAAGTTGAAAACCGGTTTTCTTAGTATTTAAAGCTGAATCTTTTTATTTGTCTTATTTTAGAACATGAAATATTCATTGCTACGGTCCTCCATATAATTAACAAAATAAAAAAACGCATTTTTTTGCAATTTAGGGCAGTAGAGGGTGTTAACAGGAATTTGTCCATCAGGGGACTTAACGGATTAGTCATGTATACGTCCCTCACTGAGAAAAAGACTAAAGTTAAATGGAGTATTTGGCAAAATACTGATTAATTTTTGCGTTAGAACGTGCATATCTTGGTTTGCAGTGTCCTGCAGAGGTGTGCAATTTCGTTTATATGGCTGAACATAAAAGAACAGTCTTCATGGAGGAAAATTAAGCACTGCTTGGATAAAAAATGACTTCAATGCTTCGCACCAAATAATAAACATTTAGTTCTTATTTTGTTTCAAACAAACGCGGACTCTATTGTTTGATGCTAAATAAGGTGTTTATACTTTTATTTCAGTTTCAGAGCTCAATAGTTTACAATACTGTTTTACTACGTTTACTTTGCCCATCGCCCGGCCATTCTTTACAAAAACAAACCATTGCATTGTTTATTTTTAGATTAACCGGAAATGTTGTAAACAAAGCAATTTTGCAATTTTGTACTGCAAATGATTAGCTGTGTAGTGATCTAATGAATTTGAGATAAAAAAACAATGATTTTCAATGATGGGACCAATTAGAATCTGAACAAATAGAAAATTAACCTTGGCGAGTTATATCGAAAAAAAATCACGATACTATGAAATCATTTTAAATGATTTTGGAGTTGACCTTTAAACTGTTTGATTGATTGATTTTAAGTTGATGTGTATTTTTGCTAAATAAATAAAACCTGCAGACGAACAGCAAATACTTCTTTCCTGTTTGATTTCTAGACATTTAAGTAAACAATGGAAGATATTATAATGGTGAATGAATTGAAAATCAAATGAATGGGTTTACACTATATACTATAGTATACATTTCAACCATACCAAAACCTTTAAACCTTTAGCAAGCAGTTTTCCAGAATATAACTATAGCAATAGCAGAGCCATGGAAGGAAATTGATAAAATTGATAAAGGGACAAACGACGATATTTTCTTCATTGTCACTCAGACATTAACGTTTTAAACGGTTAAAAAGTTATGAATTGGTCAAGTAACTCTTTGAATGATGGGGGGAGGGGGGTAATTGAGAAATTATGCCGGCAGTCCCTTTAATATTTAATATTCAGGGTTCCCAACGAAGTAGATCCCGTCTGCGTACAGTCCCTTTAATATTTAATATTCAGGGTTCCCTTATCTAGAAGTAAAAGCTGTGATAGACCCAGAGTAAAAGATTCGATGAGAGAAACATTTAGGTAATTTTGTTCTTCAAAAACTTACAAAACATATTTAACCATTTCCTACTAGTTTTAAGGCACAGCTACTAGATTTATATTTAAAACTTTTAGAATTTCCTCTGATCGGCTGCAGACCAACCTGTCAAGATTCTCTCACAATATTTCAGATAAACTAACTAGTTTTCAGGTAACATCTTATTCGTGGATTTTCTAATAAATGTCGTCTTCATTCGAACTTTATTTTTACAAGGAACTGATTACTTGCCTCAAACTCTTATTTTCTAATCCCTACAACTATTGAATCGATGGTGTAAACCTTATATATTTTTAACTTTGTTTATTAGATCTAACAGAATTTATAGATTTTGAATAAGCTTTGCAAAAATATAAGAAATGACATTGTGGCAATTGTTTAGCAACTTAAATATATTTGGTTAACACAAGCCAATGAAAGATACATTTAGATTTTTTTATAGAAGGACTTCAATTGAGAAAAGTAAAACATTTTTTTAATAGACTTATTTTTTTTAAATCCGATAAAAATCTATATTATCTTATACTTCAAGTAAGAACTGTATTTTTTGTCTACATTTTCTATGAAATTTTTGAAATGCTGAATGGGCCAAACATGTGAAGTAGATCTAAAAAATTGGGCGTGTTCTAACTGAAAATATATTAAATCTGCACTAAACCACTCAATTCATGAATGCATGACTCAGTTGCCAAATCCAACATGGTTTCTGTGCAAATCTTAATTCGCGCTGCCAACTTTGACAGATCTTTACGCAAAATCCATCTATCTGTCATTCTGCACTTGCATCAATCAATTGATCATTTTCAAGCAGTCTGGGTTTTTAGTAAACAAAACATACACTCTTTTTACATTTCACGCGGAAAGTATCTTCTTTTTATTATCTTTCTTGGTGGAAAAATTGTTTCTTTCTCCAGATCAAACTAATAAAGTAATACTTCCATACAAAAATACATCTTGTCCTGTCAACCTTCTAAAAGCTATTCCTAAAAGGATTAAACCGGAAATACGCTCTTCTGATTGGTTGGAATTCCGACCAATAGGACGGACAGAGGATGACTAACTGTACCTGTGAACCCCGCATATTTATGTTGGACCCGCTTTTTTCAGAAGATTGTGATGTCATCGGTACTTTAGATATTTCGATCACAGCAATGGAATTTTTCGGAAATTGCATAATTCCAAATTTACCTATTATCAAATTCAGGCGAGTAGTCGAATGTCGACGACCTCTAACGGATCAACGGGTCGACAGAGTAGTAGCAGCGATGAGGGGAAACCTCATAGTCCAGCCTCCTGGGATTCAGCTGACCGGCCTACCCTTTGGGAGCATTCTTCATCCCAGCATTCATCCTCCCCTCATCCATCATCCTCCCCCCACCCTTCATCTCCTCATCCATCATCCATTCTGCAGTCAGTAGCGTACAAAGCCATTCCATGCGTTGAACTTCAGGTAGAATTAACATAATAGACAACAAAATCGTATTGTCTAATTGTCTAATTATCTAATTGTCTAATAGTCGAATTGTCTAATTGTCTAATTGTCTAATTGTCTAATTGTCTAATAGTCTAATTGTCTGATAGTATATAGTCTAATAGTCTAATTATCTAATTATCTAATTGTCTAATAGTCTAATTGTCTAATAGTCTAATTGTCTAATTGTCTCATTTTCTAATTGTCTAATTATCTAATTGTCTAATTGTTTAATTGTCTAATTGTCTAATAGTCTAATTGTATATAGTCTAATAGTCTAATTATCTAATTATCTAATTGTCTAATTGTCTAATTGTCTAATTGTCTAATTTTCTAATTGTCTAATTGTCTAGACGCAGTGTAAAGGGGGAAGGGTGTCTCCCACGGATAGTATAGAGTACACAGCCAGTGAAGATTTTAAGGTATTATAAAAATAACAATAATAAAAATAATTGTGATATATGTAGATTGTAGATATGTTAAGACATAAAAATGGCAACCTTAGTTGAATATCTATCTATCTTGACCTAATCTGAAATAGTTTAAGTTGATTGGATATGGTTATAGAGTGTTCATAAAGAATTTCCCTTGAATTGGCTGAACTGGTTTATTTGGTGTACTGTCCTGTACTGTACAGCTTGAAAGTCAGTCCTGTACATGAAATGAACCGGAGTTTGCAGTTTATTTGACTTTGACGTGGCTGGATGCTTAGATCCAAGAAATATATAGACCAGGAACCACCATATCCGATGCGTCAAATCTGTGTACTGCACTGGGAGGAGATTAAAACAAAGTTTTATCCTTTCCCTTCCATTGCTATGGGGGCACTGGGTTTGTTTACATTCCTCCCAGAGTGTACCGTACACAATATGCGTATATATGAGTTGGGCGTTCCTGTAGATAGTTCCTTGGTTAGATCTAGTTTTATTCAAACAATGATAAATATTTCAAACAAAGGGCAAAACTTTTCTGTACTTATACTAACTGTGGTTTCTCAGCAGGTTAAATACCACACAGTTAAATGTACACAAAACCTATCTCCCCAACCTTCAGTACACGTACTTTTGATTTATGAATAACACTGTAGAAGTGGATATGGGGTTGGACGGGAACCTATTGACCCTTCCTTCAACTATGATAATCATCAACAACAATCAACATCATCATAAACCAAATAGAAATATTTGCATTTACATGGCAGGGGAGGGGGGTAGGGGAGGGAGGGCCCTGCATATTACAATAAACTTAGGAATTTAGCGGCTTTAGATCGGTATTTTTATAAATTTTTTCTTTCTTCTAAAAAAAGAGATATTTTTAATAGAAATGAAAATAAGTAAAGAGCTAGAAGACTAGAAAATAATTGACAACTTTCATAATATTTGCGTGTTTTATTCAAATATTTGCGGTTTAATCCTACCGACCCCTTTGGTGAGGTTTTTATGCAAATCTTGAATGCAAAGTTTAGCCAATATTTGCACAGGAGTCAGGACGCAGGTTTCCGCAGAGAAATTTTGCAATCAAATTTTATAGTGCTTATATCACATATTACACAGACACATAGATCCAGACTGTTATGAAAAGTTTCATACATTTTCAATAATGGGTCGGCTTTCAAGTATTGCAACACCTTGGCTTTTGATTTTTTCTTTCTTGCTAACAAATACTAATTTGTAGCTCTAGACGCACATTTAAGAACTATAAAAGCACTTGTTTTGAGCTCTCGTTTACAAAGTAATTGGCGAAATTCTCATAGATTTTTGCGTGATAGTTTGCAATATTTGGATCACTGTGCAGACAGTACATCAAAAGAGAGAAATATTTTCAGCTTGGTTAAAAAAAATCTTTTCAGAATACAATTTCTAATTGGAAACAAAACAATCTCAAGAATAAAGTTCCAATCAATTAAAAAATTCAGATTCACAACCACTGCATACCTTTATTTTAGAGTTGATCAGTCATTGTTTTGGTTATTGTATTATTTTGAAAATATTCCCGTCATTTCCTTTCTTTTCTTTGCTGCATAAATCCGCAAGTTTCTTAAATAGAAAAACTGAAATTAAAAAATTCATCATTTTTTAGATTGAAAATCAAGGTTATATCCATTTTTTGCATAGTCAAAGCATTCATTTTCAAAATACAGGGTTCTAATTGTCTAATTGTCTAGACGCAGTGTAAAGGGGGAAGGGTGTCTCCCACGGATAGTATAGAGTACACAGCCAGTGAAGATTTTAAGGTATTATAAAAATAACAATAATAAAAATAATTGTGATATATGTAGATTGTAGATATGTTAAGACATAAAAATGGCAACCTTAGTTGAATATCTATCTATCTTGACCTAATCTGAAATAGTTTAAGTTGATTGGATATGGTTATAGAGTGTTCATAAAGAATTTCCCTTGAATTGGCTGAACTGGTTTATTTGGTGTACTGTCCTGTACTGTACAGCTTGAAAGTCAGTCCTGTACATGAAATGAACCGGAGTTTGCAGTTTATTTGACTTTGACGTGGCTGGATGCTTAGATCCAAGAAATATATAGACCAGGAACCACCATATCCGATGCGTCAAATCTGTGTACTGCACTGGGAGGAGATTAAAACAAAGTTTTATCCTTTCCCTTCCATTGCTATGGGGGCACTGGGTTTGTTTACATTCCTCCCAGAGTGTACCGTACACAATATGCGTATATATGAGTTGGGCGTTCCTGTAGATAGTTCCTTGGTTAGATCTAGTTTTATTCAAACAATGATAAATATTTCAAACAAAGGGCAAAACTTTTCTGTACTTATACTAACTGTGGTTTCTCAGCAGGTTAAATACCACACAGTTAAATGTACACAAAACCTATCTCCCCAACCTTCAGTACACGTACTTTTGATTTATGAATAACACTGTAGAAGTGGATATGGGGTTGGACGGGAACCTATTGACCCTTCCTTCAACTATGATAATCATCAACAACAATCAACATCATCATAAACCAAATAGAAATATTTGCATTTACATGGCAGGGGAGGGGGGTAGGGGAGGGAGGGCCCTGCATATTACAATAAACTTAGGAATTTAGCGGCTTTAGATCGGTATTTTTATAAATTTTTTCTTTCTTCTAAAAAAAGAGATATTTTTAATAGAAATGAAAATAAGTAAAGAGCTAGAAGACTAGAAAATAATTGACAACTTTCATAATATTTGCGTGTTTTATTCAAATATTTGCGGTTTAATCCTACCGACCCCTTTGGTGAGGTTTTTATGCAAATCTTGAATGCAAAGTTTAGCCAATATTTGCACAGGAGTCAGGACGCAGGTTTCCGCAGAGAAATTTTGCAATCAAATTTTATAGTGCTTATATCACATATTACACAGACACATAGATCCAGACTGTTATGAAAAGTTTCATACATTTTCAATAATGGGTCGGCTTTCAAGTATTGCAACACCTTGGCTTTTGATTTTTTCTTTCTTGCTAACAAATACTAATTTGTAGCTCTAGACGCACATTTAAGAACTATAAAAGCACTTGTTTTGAGCTCTCGTTTACAAAGTAATTGGCGAAATTCTCATAGATTTTTGCGTGATAGTTTGCAATATTTGGATCACTGTGCAGACAGTACATCAAAAGAGAGAAATATTTTCAGCTTGGTTAAAAAAAATCTTTTCAGAATACAATTTCTAATTGGAAACAAAACAATCTCAAGAATAAAGTTCCAATCAATTAAAAAATTCAGATTCACAACCACTGCATACCTTTATTTTAGAGTTGATCAGTCATTGTTTTGGTTATTGTATTATTTTGAAAATATTCCCGTCATTTCCTTTCTTTTCTTTGCTGCATAAATCCGCAAGTTACTTAAATAGAAAAACTGAAATTAAAAAATTCATCATTTTTTAGATTGAAAATCAAGGTTATATCCATTTTTTGCATAGTCAAAGCATTCATTTTCAAAATACAGGGTCACTCAAATTTTCGTAGAAAGTCCCTTTCGGTGTGCTAATTTAAGAATTTATGCAAAATAAGTGTTTGCAAGTTGTTTTGAAAGTTTGCATCGTGCAAACAGAAACAATACTAATGGGCCAAGTCCATAACAATGGAATGAGTCTGAACAGGGGGGCTCATAATTAATGCGCGCAAATACTGATTACTTTATGTGGGATGATTACACATTGCCTTAATTACTAAACCCTTATTGAGAAAGAAGAAAGAAAAAAATTCGGAGAAGTATTTTTTAAACCTATCGTTTTGAGTGTAATTGAAAAAGGTAAAAAAACGAGATTAACGAGATTTACAAAAAAAAAAAATTTTAGAATCCCAAATAAACTGTTTCATCTTCTGTATAATAAAACAAGACATTCATATATGTATATATATTGCGTATAGCCGGCCAAACGGCTGGACCGATTGGGCTGAAATTTGTTGTGGACAATCATGGGAGGCCAGGGGGTTAATTTGATTTCATTATCTTTTTTTCAAAATTATTATTTTTGTTTTCCACGGGCAACGCCGTGCCCTTCAGCTAGTTCTAAATAGTAACGGTTCAAGCAACATAATATTTTAATGAAAACAACGATATATACATGAAATGATAAATGTTTTAGATTTTTTTCTATTTCTATTTATTTCCGTTTCTTTCCTCCTTTTCTTTTATTCTTGTTTGTCTGTTTTGTTCTTGAACTGTCTGTACTCATTATACTCTTCATTTTGTTATCCTTTTATCCTTTTATCCTTCTATCCTTCTATCCTTCTATCCTTCTATCCTTCTATCCTTCTATCCTTCTATCCTTCTACCCCTCTGTCTTTCTATCCTTCTATCCTTCTATCCTTCTATCCTTCTATCCTTCTATCCCTCTATATATTTTTCTATTCTTTTATCCTTTTTTTTCCTTTACCTTCGCCCCTCCTTAACCTTAGTTACACTTCGATAATTTACTGTGAATCTTTTAATTTAGATCATTGAACATTTAATTCGAAGAACATTGAATATTTAATTCATTTAACATTTAATTCATTTAACATTTAATTCATTGAACACTGAATATATAATTCAATTAACATTTAACTCATTGAACACTAAATATTTAATTCATTTAACATTTAACTCATTGAACACCGAATATCTAATACATTTAAAATTTAACTCATTAAACATTGAATATTTAGCTCATTTAACATTGAACATTGAACATTGAACATTATACATTGAATTCATTTAACATTGAAAACTGAATGCATTTAACATTGAACATTGAACATTTAATTCATTGAACATTGAACATGAAGATTAACACTGAACATTGAATTCATTGAACATTGAAAATTGAATTCATTTAACATTGAAAATTGAACACTGAACATTGAAATTATTTAACATTGAACATTGAACATTGAACATGAACATGAACATGAACATTGAACATTGAACATTTAATTCATTGAACATTTAATTCATTGAACATTTAAAATTGATCATTGAAAATTGATCATTGAACATTTAACATTGAACATTAAACATTGAACATTGAACATTGAACATTGAACATTGAACATTGAACATTGAACATTAAGCATTAAAAATTGAACATTGAAAATTGAACATTGAACATTTAACATTGAACATTGAACATTGAACATTGAACACTGAACATTGAACATTGAACATTGAACATTGAACATTGAACATTGAACATTGAACATTGAACATTGAACATTGACCATTGAACATTGAACATTGAAAAATAAACAATGAACATTGAACATTGAACATTGAACATTGAACATTGAACATTGAACATAGAACATAGAACATTGAATATTGAACATTGAACATTGAACATTGATCATTGAACATTAAGCATTAAAAATTGAACATTGAACATTAAACATGGAATTCATTGAACATTGAAAATTGAACATTGAACATTGAACATTGAAAATTGATCATTGAACATTAAGCATTGAACATTAAGCATTGAACATTGAACATTGAACATTGAACATTGAGCATTGAGCATTGAACATTGAACATTGAACATTGAACATTGAACATTGAACATTGAACATTGAACTTTGAACATTGAACATTGAACATTGAACATTGAATATTGAACATTGAACATTGAAAAAAAGATCAATCATTGTTTAAGTAAATTGGTGGCATCTTGTACACGGTTATGTTTTAAAAATGCGATAAATGTTTTAATCTGTTATTATGAATATTACTTTATTCCACAGTGAATGTGATCCTAAACCCCGATATGCCCAAGAGCTACTGTATTCTGTTCAATGACAGAGCAGATTTTATCAGATCTTGGATTCGTTTCAGCTCATTCAGCATATTTCCCCAAAACATTTCAAAATTATGATTTACGGATTCATCCAAATTATTCATGCTTCATTTTGAAAATTTCCCAGTAATGTGATAATTTAGATGTTTGTATTAAAAATCTTGAAATGCAAAATACGAGGAAATGAATAAATAATCGAAGCGTAAGCTTTGACAATAATAGTTCGACAAAACTGGTTTGAGTTCAAGTTAAAAATAATAACTTTTTTATTTAAAAATTAAAAAAAATATATATTTAAAACCGTACAAAACGTAAAATCAACACTATGCTTTGATTCGACACTAAAATACGAAAAAAAAATTTGAAAAAAGAATGCGCTCATTCTATGAAGAATTTAATCCAAACTTGAAAGATTTCAAACTAAAATTAAGTGCGATTTTATCCGCAAATTATACTCTCCATACTATTAAGATATAAAATTTGAAAATGAAATGAAATGAAATTGACAAACCTACTATCTCACGCCCCCATCCAACCTTACAATAAACTTCAGATTGAAAATTGTAGAGCTTAACATATTATTTCCCTTCTCCCACCTCTCCCTCTCCTGCACTTCATCCTACCCANCCCCCCCCATCCTCTCCACTTTGCCTTTATAGCTTACGTGATATGAAGAGAAAGTGAAAAGTCCTATCCCCTAGCTAGCATATTTGGTTTACCCATTAACATGCATTCTTACCAATACATCTAGAAATACAGGTAGATTAGCATTTATTCTTACCAATACAACTAGAAATATAGGTAGATTAGCATGCATTCTTACCAATACAACTAGAAATATAGGTAGATTAGCATTTATTCTTACTAACACAACTAGAAATACAGGTAGATTAGGATTTATTCTTAACAATACATCTAGAAATATAGGTAGATTAGCATGCATTCTTAACAATACATCTAGAAATATAGGTAGATTAGCATGCATTCTTACTAATACATCTAGAAATATAGGTAGATTAGCATGCATTCTTATCAATACATCTAGAAATATAGGTAGATTGACAAACATTCGATCGATTACCAATGAATCTAGAAAAATATGACACTTTATACTAATTTAAATACTTTTTACACAAATTTCGTTATTCTATCAAAAACTAAACTGGTAATCTCGGCTAAATTCAGAACTTCTTCCCTTCCCCCCCCCCTTCTCCCCTATACCATGCCTACTAATCTCAATCGTATTTCCATTTTATTACTTCAAATCTGTCAATAAGTACATGCAAGCTAAGGACATTCGAAGAAGTGAAGTTAAGTGGGTCAATTAGATTTATTGCTTAATCAATAAATTGAACTTCAATATTATTTTTATTAAGTTACCGATTTTAGGAGTATTATATATTCATAGCGGAAGGGTCCAGCGTTGCCGGTAGGGAAAAAGAAAAAAGATTTTGAAAAAAAAAATTTGAAAAAATATCTAATTTTTTTAGCCTTTAACACCCCCAGACTACCCATGAGTGTCCACAGCAAATTGTAGCTCATTTGGTCCAGCCGGTTGGCCGACAAGAGGGAACATATATATGAATGTCTTGTTTACAATATAGATTCAAATCAATTTCGATTAGGCTTCAGTCTGGAATTGAAAGAAACAGAACTGACTTTTTTTTAAACCAATCTTTTATTTTCAAAGCAAGCTTCAGCCGGAAAATTGCAAAAATTTGTCACGCACACAAGAATATTTTTTAAAACATATAATTGTCAATTATATAATAATTAAACCCCGACGTTGCCCGGGAATTTTTTTAAATTAGATTTTTGAAGTAAGAAAATGCTTATGTTACTTCTAGGGTACCCAATACCCATGGGTTTCCTCAAAATATTTCAGCCAATTCGGTCTAGCCGTTTGGCCAGCTGTTTCAAACATATACAGGGTGAGTAAAAAAAAAACGGGATTATCGATGTTCTGAACAAAATTTTCAAAGCTAATATTTCGTTCTGATTTTAGGCATAAATAAAATAAAATGTGATAAAAAAATTAAAAAATATTTTTAGAACATTGAAAAAAATCCGCGAACCCAATTTTTTTAAATTAATTTTTTTGAAAAATTGTTGGGAAAATGTTTATTTTATTGTTTTCCAAAATTTCTCAAAAATTCATCAAAAATTGAATGAGATATAACAAAAACTCCGCAAAAAATTTAAAGTGGAAATCTGCAGTAAATGTTATCAAATTATAACCCTAGAACTGTTACGACTTCAAAAATGCAATACTTGGCTTACATTTTTTGTTATATTTCATTTAATTTTTGATGAATTTTTATTAAATCTTGGAAAATAATAGAATAAACATTTTCCCAACAATCTTTAAAAAAAATTCATTTTTTTAAAATGGTTTTGCGGATTTTTAAAAAATATTTTGTATTTTTTGTCACATTTTATTTTATTTATGCCTAAAATTCGAACAAAATAAAAATTTTGAAATTTAGTCCAAAACATTGAAAATCCATGTTTCTTACTCACCCTGTATATATATTAGCGAAGACCTTTATTATATAAAGATTGCACTAAATTTATTGATTCAGTTTTGCACCTTGCTCAACCATGAAATAAGGATACACACTGAGAGCGTGCAAATTCGCAAATATAATAGAATGAGTTTGCATATTTGCGGGCGCGAACCCAATTTTTGTTAAATTATTTTTTTTTTTAAATGTTGGGAAATTTTTTATTTTATTGTTTTCCAAAATTTCTCAAAAACTCCACAAAAAAATTAGAGAAGAAATCTGCAGTAAATGTTATCAAATTATAACCCTAGAACTATCATGACTTCAAAAATGAAAATACTTGGCTTACATTTTTTGTTATATCTTAATCAATTTTTGATGAATTTTTATTAAAATCTTTGAAAAAATTTTTCCAAAAATCTTTGAAAAAACTTTTTTTTTAAATAATAGTTTTGCGGATTTTTTTTCCTATGTTCCAAAAATATTTTTAAATTTTTTATCACATTTTTTTTATTTATGCCCAAAACTCGAACAAAATAAAAATTTTAAAATTTGGTCCAAAACATTGAAAATCCATGTTTCTTACTCACCCTGTATATATATTAGCGAAGAGCTTTATTATATATAGATTGCACTAAATATATTGATTCAGTTTTGCACCTTGCTCAACCATGAAATAAGGATACACACTGAGAGCGTGCAAATTCGCAAATATAATAGAATGAGTTTGCATATTTATGCGTCCATTGTTTGTATCTGTTTGCCCCGAGGAGAGAAAATCGCAGAGATTGAAAGGAAGTAAATTAAGAATTTATCAAAATATTAGTTCTACTTCTGAAAATCGGCGGTTTTTTATTTTTCTCATCTGATTATTTTTTAATTATAAGCATATTCAATAAATCATTTGTGTCTAACGTTTCGTAGATCCAATTCTTGTCTACCAATTGCGAAGCTTTATGCCATACGAAGATTGCGTAAGTTTGGCCCAAAAGTTGCGCAGCGCTATTCCTTGTCTAAAAATTGCGATATCGTACTGTTTTCTATTAATTGTCCAGCAATTGCGTAGCTCTTTGCCTTTTCTGATTGTTGCTAATAGCTTAATGCCATGCCTAAAAATTGCGTAGCTCTATGGTTTGTAAAATCATTGCGTAACTATTTTTCTTGTCTAAAAATTGCGTATCTCTATGATGTATGTCTTGTTTGTTGATATATGAATTCTCTATCCCGAAGCTGTTTATTTACAGAAACAAAAACCATGTTTTCTCCTCGCACTTAGAGCTCAGAGTTAGACCCCCCAGTTGAACATACCTTGACCATTGCAATCAACCCCAGGGGGGGAATGTTTTTATTAGTATTATTATTTTGTAGAAGTCAGCTGGGTGTATCAAGTGAACTGATCCCTGTGAGAACCAGATATAGACCTCCTAGTACAGATACTGAACCTGTATATGAGGGACCATTTATAGGTAATAGGGTACACTTAGGGTACAATTTTAGGGTACATCGTCATCTAGGGTAAACTTTTAGGGTACTCAGTCAGTGTCTTTTAGGGTACAGTGGGTGGTCATTTTAGGGTACAGTCAAAAATATGTAAAAAAAAAAGTTTCCTATTAGCACTTTTTTGTATAAAATTAAATTCATAAAAAAAGTATGTTAATTTTTTTTATTTGTAGCATTGTGAATTCAGAATTGTGATTTAAGACTATAAAAATGAATACATCAATCATAGTCGTTTCTACCAATGTGGCTCTCATATTGATAAATACATGAGTAAAGGCTTAAATACGATAGTAAATTTTATCTTTTCAAAAAGTTTCCAATCATTTTCTAGCTTCAACTCATTTAATAAATCAATTTTATTTCAAAATTAAGAATTTAAAAATATTAAGGTCATGCAAGAGCCATTGTAGACTACACTCCCAGTCCGTATGACCGTGATGCTTTGAGGTTTAAGAAAGACGACATTATTGATATTATCAGCATGAACGCTAGCGGACTATGGCGAGGAAGATCACAGGGGAAGGTAAATCAGTCGAATCTGGGACCGAATTTAGTGAATTTGAGCTATGTTGCTGAACTGCTTACCGCCGGTTCAAATCCTGAATTCCCGATTCCAAGTTAAAGATTCATGAGGATTTGAATCGGTGATTCAGTTCAGGACCTCTCCAATCTATTAAATTTGGTCCCAGATTTCATTATTGTGATGAGCATTCAAACAATAGTCGTTTTTTTTCTGCTGTAAAAATTTGTGAAATGATTAGTTTGAATCATAGTTCTATTTGTGCCTACACTTATTAATCGGCCAAATTGAAACATTCAAAAGAATCTGAGATTTCTAACCTTCACGGCAAAATTTGATTTTCCACAAGTTTTATTTCTCCGACCGAAGATATTTACCAGAACTTTTAAAATCAAAATAACCTGAGTCAGAATTTAATGAATTTGAGCCGCGTCTCAAATCCGCCAAAAACCAGTTTCAATTAAGCGCCGGCTTAAATCTTAAAACATTTAATACAATGTTAAGTTGAACCAACCACATTTGAGCCGCGTCTTAAATTTAAGCTGCGGCTCAAGTTCTTTAAATTCGGCCTCTGTACTATTTTAATACGAGCCTCAACACGATGCCCATGAGTAGGTTTACCTCATCAGTCATTTAGGCTAATTATTCTATTCTTTCATTTCATTTAGTTTTCCTTAGAAATAATTTTTACCCACAAATATGTTGATTGCACTAGATTTGCTAAGCATTGCAATATAAGGCTATTTAAGTCATTTTTTAAAGTTTCAACAGGGCTCACTGCAAAGTTTTATCTACAGGGGGACTCACAAAACATGGAATTTCATGGACGACTGTTCGTAATTTATACTGTATATTTCCTAGTCGCGTTATTTTGCTACTTTAAACTTATTTCTTTTTCTTAAATCATAAAATATAGCAATATTCAAAGCAGAAGACCTTAGTTAACCTTGGAATCGTCTTATTATATGAGTTTCAGGTCGTCTTTTAAATCTCATCTATTGTGGGTAATCTTGTATTTGAATAACTTTCCACTTAATTTATGTCAAATTTGAATCAATCTTAACAATTTCAATCTCAATGTAAACAAAACTTTTTAGTTGATTTTTTTTTAGATTGGGAATTTTAAATTCATTAATGTTGAGATTTTGCCGAATAGGGAAGGAAGAAAATCAAGAAGCAACAGTGTCAGCAAGGTAAGTGATATTATTGACTGATTGTCGTCTTCGTTTTTTCTTTTAATTATAATTCAGAAAAATATCTCGTTTTAGCGAAACTTTTGTGTGGAGTATCGTTAATTTTGGACACTTTATCTCGATATCCCATCTGGGCACTTTTAAATTTTCAGGAAACAATAATGTTGTTGACTTTTAAAAAAGTCAATACGATAAAATAAAAGAACACACTTGAATTTAACCTGCTCATTTAATACGTTTTCTAAATTCCCCATTGCCTTAATGGAAAAAAGAAACCTGATAAAATTACTTTAAATTAGTGTTCACGACTTCTTCTATCATAAAATATCAAAATCAATGAAAAAATTAAAGATTTATTTTAAAAATAAAAAAGTAGGTATTTAGGCAGTATGCATTTTCTATTTTACGTATTATTGATATTATAAAATGTAATTGTACCCATAAAAGCAACACACTTAGAACAGGTGTCTGTATATCAAAAAGCAATATTAGTCTAACTGAACAAAAATAATTCTCCAATCATTTAATTGATATTAAAGACGACATTTAAGAAGTATATTTTTAGGAGAGAAAACGCGGGAGACGGAGAGCAAGAAGTGTACAGGAGCTCCTAACTAATCTAAATATGGAGGAACATATTCCAGTTTTTGTTCTTAATGGATACGAGAACATGACGCTCTTCCAGGTTTATTTAATTTACAAACAAGTTGTCCTAAAATATATCTTGGAAGGGATTTTGAAGGTATTTGCCTGACAGAAGGTGGTATAATAATTACAAATATTATGCAAGGGGTGTCAAATAAGTATTTTTAGTTTTTTTATTGAGGGCAAAAAACTCAACTTTGGAATTTTTATAACTAATTTACAATTAAGATGCCTTTCTTTAATATTTTTTCAAAAAAAAATAAGAATTTGTGCGATTGAAAAAGAAAATAATCGACGTTTTTAATTTAAGAAAAAAGTTGTCTGGGAAAACGGGTTGTCTGATAGAGCTGCACAGACATCGTGCAATTATCTCATTTTTGATTTGCCATTTGTACTTTGCTTGTACTTCACCAGACAAGTCGGCCAAGAAATAGAAAAGAAGAAGAAATATTGAGACTAAAACCAAAGTGCTTACAAATGTACTGAAACTGATATTAAAGTCGTTGCAATAATAAATGTTTCTGCAGTCTCCTGAAAATATGTGTGTACGAAACCTGGTGATTAAGTACAATAATACAGTCTAGGAAAGTAATTAGTGGAACAAAATATCCATGTTCAGAGAATTACCACCTCTTTTTCTAATCCCTATATCTTGGCCATCTGCTCCCGTAAATCTTTGATATTTAACAAACATAAATTTTGTAAAATCAAATAGCCAAAGATTGAAAGACTTTCTAAACCATCAGTTGCAAAGATAAAAGGATTATTCAATTACTAGCTAAAGTGCCCGGCGCTGCTTAGGTTACTCATAGTTAAACCCGCAGTTTATCCGCGCTAGGTCTTAAATTATGAATCTAGCCTATGTCACTCCCGGGGTACCCGTGGGTACCCTCAAACTTTTTTGTCAATTATGTCCTGCAGTTTAGCCAGCTATAAAGAACATATTAATAAGCGAAGAGCTTTATCATAGAGAAGGTAAAACTGAGGCGAGTAATCAGTTCTTTATAACTGTAAGTTGACCTCCAATGTTCCCCAGGACCTTGATGAGGCTGAGTTGGATTATCTGGGTATACAGAAGGACAAACAGAGGACAGAACTACTAGCAGCAGCTGAGGAGATGTTTGAGGAAGCACAGGAGGACAAGGAGGATAAAGCGTCCTTCTCCAGAACTAGTCTAAGGTGAGATATTTAACCCTTTATTAAAGGGGATGCACCCCCTCCCCTTACCCAACTAAGTGTGGGGGAGGGGGCTGTAAGTTATTGAGGTGCAGCAGATAGATTATCAAGTACTTCACAATCTTTTTGGGGTGCAGTGTTTAATAGGAAGTAGGTCGAAGTGTATAAGGACATGGAAATGTATGAGTGAAAGTGTATAAGGACAGGGAAATGAATTAGTGATAGTGTATTAGCACAGGGAAATGTATGGATGAAAGTGTATGAGGACAGGGATATTAATGACTGAAAGTGTATCAGCACAGAGAAATGAATGAATATAAGTGAATAGGACAGGAAAATGAATAAACTAAAGTGTATAAGGATAAGAAAATGAATGAAAGTGTATAAGGACAAGAAAATGTATGAATGAAAGTGTATAAGGACAGGGAAATGTAAGGATGAAAGTGTATCAGAACAGGGAAATGTATGAATGAAAGTGTATAAGGACAGGGAAATGAATGAATGAAAGTGTATAAGGACAGGGAAATGAATGAAAGTGTGTAAGGACAGGAAAATGAATGAATGAAAGTGTATAAGGACAGAGAAATTAATGAATAAAAGTTTATAAGGACAGGGAAATGAATGATTGAGTGTAAAGGACTAGGAAATGAATGAGTGAATGGATAAAAGCTAGAAGAGAAGATTTCTACGAATAAATGAATTATGTAATGATGATGAATTAAGTTGCCTAGAGCATTAAGTTTCCCAGCTTTTACATCAATCCATTCACTCTGCACACCAACCATCCAACCATCCAACCATCCAACCATCCAACAATCACACCATTCAACTATCCAACTATCCAACCATGCAACCATTCAACCAACCAACCATCCAACCATCCAACCATCCAACTATCCAACCATCCAACAATACAACCATCCAATCATTCAACCATTCACTATCCAACCATACAACCATCCAACCACACAACCATCCAACCATCCAATCATTCAACCATCCAACTATCCAACCATCCAACCATTCAACCATCCAACCATCCAACCATCCAACCATAAAAAAATATCAGAAATGTTGGAATGAGATTAGCGCTAACAACGGTTTAATATGTTAAACCACTTTTCTCTCAAGTTAAATGATATTAGGCGGTTAAACTTTTTTTAAACAAAGATAAGAACGTTAAAATGTTTCTCGTTTTATGAATAATTATATATATATATTAAAATCTTAGCTTGGGTCCCGTTCACGGCTTTATCTGCTTACAAATATAAAATGTGTCCCACAAAACATGAGAATTTAAAAAGAAACAAGTTTGAGATAAAAAATGTATTCATTGTTCAAATAAACAGTAAACGTGCATATCGGTTTATACAGGGTTAGTGTTACCCACAAAGAATGAGACTTTAGAGATGACTGAACAGAATTAAGTAAGTCTTTTTTGTTAAAATTTCAGAGGCACAGCTTCAAATTTTTTATTTTTCTGGCAAATCATTTCATATATTCTTTAAAGACTTTATTCAAGGTAATAGGCCTAATTCAACCCTTAGATTATTAAATAGTTACATTTAACGAGCTTAAGGTCTTCATTCAAGTATCATCCTTTGTGGAGAACCCTGTATTATACAAATATTTTTGCGAGCAGTTTCTATTATGGTTTATTCATTAGAAGCACTTAATAGTTCACTTTTTTTAATTATCGTATTTTTTGGGACACACTGTGGATGCTTGTATACCTGCTGTATAGGTGGTCCTTTATTAAGTATAGTTCACAAGTCTGAAGGGTGGGGTAGGGGGGGTGGTAAGGAGAAAGATATCGGAGGGAATGGGGAGATTTAAAAAAGTAAAATTATACATTCATTTAACAGCATGGTATTTATTTATTCGATACTCAATAATTTTTTTACATCTTCTTAAATATTTTCAAATATATATATATATTATAATATATAATATGTTGAATCTTCCCC